TCCCAGGGAGGGAGCTGGGACCTCCCTGATCCTGCAAACCCTGTCTCCCTGCTCCAGAGCTCTCATAAAGCAGGAAAACGAGTTTTTTCCCCTACTCCTGCCCTCCCACAGTGCCTCTAGTACCCGTGGTACAGCCAGAGAAGCAAAACCAGGTTGTGTCAAGAGAGGTGTTTGCTTTGCAGGCTAGGCTGGGAGCGCGGGCTGTTTGCAAAAGGTGTTTACTGGGGACAGGGGATGCGAAGCAAATGACTTCTTGGCACTGCCACATCATCCTGGCTCCCTGCTCCGGGAGATGTTTTGGTCAATGTCCCACAGGCAGTGGGTGCTCAAGCAGCAAGTGCTTGGTGAGACCCCATGGTAGGGCTTGGGCTTTCCAACCTGCCTGGAAAGCCCCCAAATCTGCCCCCACCTTGGGCTGAGCTGAAGGACATGTCTGATGAAACCCTTATCCTGCCTGTTCTGTCTCAAGGTGATCCTGGCTTTCACTGCCTGCACCTGGAGTGCTTCAGTTTTATTGCTTTGCCTTGGACCGAGGCTGTGTTTGCAGTGGGAAACGCTGCGAGGTGGTGTATTGACACAGCTCAGGGGCTGGGCACAGGCCCAGGAGGAGGGACGGCACCTCGCCAGCTGCCGCAGGAGGCTCCCAGTTGAGCCCCGTGCAGCCTCCCGCAGCATCCTTGCACCCTGCTCCAAAACCTGCGCCTGCAAACGCTCTCTGTCCCCCCAAGCAGCCTTTCCCGGGTGTTTCCAATTCAGGTTTCAGACCCTCTCCCATCCTAGGAGAGATCCAGCCTCTATATTTCACAAAGCAGCATTTTGGTTTCCCCCCTCCTTGTTGCTCCATCACCCAGCAGTTGCACTGGCTGCAGCCCGGCCACAGTTATGTTTTGGGGAAGGGTAAAACAGCCCCAGCCTGCAAAGCTCCAAAGGGAATATCTTGGTGCAATAGTGCTGTTGATAGGTTGAGCAAGAGAGGGATAGGCCAAAAGGCAAAGCACAGGAGAACCAGGCAAGTCCCCGGTGCACACAGCCCTTACCTTCAGCGTGGGGAAGCCGGTGATCCCAAAATCGATGCATACTTGCTGGTTGTCCTCGTCGGCACAGTCGATGGCTGCGAGCATCACCGCAGGCCTCCACTCTGCAGAGACAGAGGATGTGGTCAGCACAGCTCAGCCCCTCTGTGACCCCAAAAACCACCCCACTCCCCAGAGCCGCTGCAGAGATGGTGGGGATCTCCCATTGTGCCAGCAGCACAGCTCCTCCCAGCCCTGAAATCTCATCTCGCCCCTCGCAGGAGACCAGCCGATGGTTTCCAAGCCCCAAGTACCCGAAGCTGTGGTCCGTGCCAGTGTTTGGTGCCCTACTTTTCAGGCAGCAAGAGCACGGTGAGAGCCATGTGAGGCAGAAGCAGGCTTTGCACGCCCTGCCCTCGTCAGCGCCCGAGCGCAGGCAGCTCTGCCCACGGCTGCCTGCCTATCTGGTTCTGCCTGCCCAGCCTCTGCCCCAGTGGGAAGAGGCTGCCGGGACAAGGGGAGGGATGGCTAACCACGGCTGGGGGAGAGCAGGGAACACGGGCTCCAGCTTATCTCACCTCAGACCAAGGGCACGGTCAATATTCAAGGGGGAATAACCCAAAACCAGTAGCTGGGGCACCACGGCAGAGCCAGCCCAGGTGCTGAGCATCTGCTCCCCCTCGGTGGCTTTCCACCACCACCTCCCCAGGGAGGATCAGCAGGTCCCTCGGGTAAAACAGAGAGGAAGAGAGGGGGGCATGGAGGCGTTTCAAGCAGGGGGCTCTGAAAGCCAGCAGCAAAATAGAGATAAAAGCTCTGAAATGGCTCCTTTTTAGCATAAGGGACACAAGCCAGAGAATGCCCAAGCAGGACATGTTTCCTACAAGCAAGGATAAGGCGTTGGCACACGAACGGAGCCTGTGCCAACCCAGATGGAAGCCTGACAGAGATGGGGACCTGCTGGGACTGTTGAGCATTGGTGGCACAGGAAGGCCAGTACCAAGCCCTGCTGCCAGGAGCCAGGCATGCTCTGAGACTCATCGGCACGTGGTGCCCATGGGTCACCCCGGCATCCTCCCTGGTCAGCCCACTCCTGTGAAAATCCACCCGTGGGAACAGCAGCGAGGATGCCAAGCAGCACAGGGGTGTCTTCCTCGCCC